AAAACTACTTATACTAAAAGAATTAAACTAAATGAATTTTCTAAGTTAAGAAACTATGAATGGGAAGGAACTATGGCTTAGATTTCATTTAATTCTGAATTATGCAACTGTTTAATTAATTTAATTCAAGTTCAAATAATAGTGTTATCGCATGAGATGGCGGATTTTCCTAAATTAAGTAACCAGCTTTCTTAAGTCAAGCTAATCCTCCATTTGTTTGCTAAATTAATTATATCTCTATGTAATTTTAAACAAACTAATGAGCATTAAATTCTATGAAAACCTCTAATTTAAGAAGAAGGGGAGCTACTAACTCTCTTCTCTTCCTCCACTACCACATGTTACCATATGTGAGCTAATTACATCTCAGTCTCATAATCTAGCACACGGTTTATATTATTATTAATTTAATCTACGCAATTCTTTCTCAAGTTCATGCATAAACCACTAAATCAATTGAAAAGTGATCAAACTTTCAATGCATTAAGCTCAATAACATAAACTCATCATGTAAATAACCAATAAATTTTGAATTAACTAAGAAAAATAGTCACACAATCCAAAAATTAAAACTCATCCATCCCTAGTTCAAAGAAATCTAGCCACACATATTTATGTTCTCAACAGCCATAACTAGGAAAACCCAGCAGAAAATCATGATAATAATCAAGTAAGAATCAACAAAACCCATCCCAATGGAGAGCAAGCTGAACTGCAATTTTGCGATGAGGAGTGGCGACATTGGCTCTTCTATAAACAGATTTGCGATCTTCCCTTGTGTGCTGCAAACAGCTTTAGGTGGCTACCCGTGTCTTCTACTTGTGAACAGCATATTCAACTCTCTCTGTATGTTGAGATTTAGGTGGCTACGTCCTTCCTTCTCAATGTCCAGAGCAATTTCTGGTCCCTCTCTTCTCTCCTCTTTCTTGGTGTGCCGAGCAGCATATATATATATATAAAGAATTAGAAACCCTTATTTCTTCTTAGCCCTAGTAGACATGGGCTTTATTGTGGGCCTGAAATGCTGTCGGCCCACACCTTGGCAACACAGCCCAATTCTCTTTATTTTTTGCAATTTGTCCACTGTCGAATCATGCAATTCAATTGAAAATCAGTATTGATACAAATAGAACTGGGTTGAGATCATAAAAGATCAATTGTAGATCTGCTTCTTAGCTTTGCACCGCCTCAAGAATCATCTCAATCCGATGCCTAAAGAAAAAGATATGGTTAAATTACTACAGCTTATGCAAATTGTCACTTATTGAAAAATTAATTCCTATCTTAATTTTTCCTACAAACAATGAAATTAATGTAAACCAAGGTGAAACTAAGTTACAAAGGACTCATAAAATTAAATTATAAGCTTAAAAAGGGTAGATAAATGCATATCAAAATTAAACTCATCAATGATAATAAAAAATCAATAAGTTTCATTACTTAAATATTATTCCTTCCATACTAGAACAATAGATTTTTTGTTTTATCTTTAAATGAAAGATTTGAAAATAATTTCTATATTTACTTATTTTATACTTAAAAAATAACTAAAAATAAATATTTACTTCAATTAGAAGATAAATAATTAAAGTTAAGAAATAATTATAGGGTTAAAGCAGAAAAAAATACTTATCTTCCTTAAAATAAGAAAAATGACTATTATTCTAGAATATATTCTAAATGAAAAATATCAATTAATTTGAGACAGAGAAAATATACTGATTTTTTTGTTAGAACATATCTATTAATAAGTATAAGACAAAAATTCAAAATAAAATAAAATAAATTTACTAAACTTGAAAGTTAAAACTCAATATGACAATATATGATTTATATAAAAGAGATAATGTTATTTTTAGTTTTTATCAAAAAGTTAGTGATCCCTTTGGTGATCCCTTTGTCTTCAAGCTTTCAATGACGAGAGTAGTGTTGTAGTTACTTATGTTGAGCCGCTTGCAAAGTCTCTTTTTTCTCTTTTTTTTTTTTTAATTTTAAAGTTGTTGGGTTGAGATTGATG